CCGAAGATCCGCAGCAGAATGTCGGGACTTGGCCGCCGTCGCGGCAATCAAAACTAGTCAGTAATTACAGTTTGATAATAGGGATTTGTGCGAAAGCCCTCCAACATAAAGGCACAGCAAAGCCCCCTGAAAGTTCAAGCGGCCGGCTCGCGGCTCGCGCCGCGAGAAGCGCCGCCTGCACATCAGCACCGCGGCCACATGCTGCTGGCTGCCAGCAGCTGCTCAGCATGCAGAGCAAGTGTACTTTAAAGCAGTATGGGAGGTTTCGAGGAGCTAATCTCTTTGAACTCTTGCTGTTAGCCGAAGCTGAATCTTACAAATAGACCCACTTCACACGTTCTCACTGGCCGGCCCTTAAAACACAATCTGGCGTCCAGGATATCCTATGACTGCAGCACGGCATCAGTAGGCTTCCTTCCATGAGTAAAAGTTGAAGCTGCCACTTTTTCCACTTCTTAGTTCCTTGATACGTACTCTGAACTGAGACACCATGCTGGTGTGTGCACACGCTCTAAACGCTCTATGCGATCCCGGGTGATGCAGAGTGCAGCTGTGGTATGGTGGGTGTCTGGTGCTGTGTGTTGGGTCAGGTTTCATAGAAGTAGCACTTCGAAATCAAAAATGCTCTTTTGAAGCAACGGGTTCTGCTCCTAGGCTGCAGAGTAGGGGAGGGGAACTGCTGTGATGCCCATCTTCGCCGGGCAGGGAGCGAAAGTGGTCTGCGAGAGGTTATGTTGGGGGGTGTTGCTGTCTGATTTCCAATCTTGTGTGCCTAGATTTTTGCTTGGGTTTTTCAGTTTCTCTGTTTGATTTCCAGGCCTCGTCTTATGGTCTTTGAAGTAAGGGGGTCTCCAGCGGGGCGCCGGACACCTACTTCTGTGTGGCTCGGGCACTGCCCCGGCGGCGGTAACTAGCGTTTGAGTGAGGCGCGCTTGGAGATATTCCCTCTATGTGGCTCCTGCTGCAGTGATGGCACCTCGCTTTACTTCCCTTTCTATGGTGGTTTGCTCCTTGTGCATCGGCTAGAGTATGCACAAAATCTGTAACAAGTTCACAGTAGGCTGGGTTCCGAAGTTCGGTTGGTTTGAGGGCCTGCCCTCTCAGCAGATCCAGTCCACAACTAAGGTAGTTGCAATGCAAATGACACTGTCGGTGTCTTGCTTGGAAATGATTTAGAAGTCCAGTCCAGTTTTGAACGTGGGTTTGCAATTATGCACTGTCTCTTCTCAGCCATCGAAGGGTGAAAGTCCCACGAAATACGCCAGCGGAGTGCGTCTTGTTAATCTCGTGTTTGCGTGTTGGCTTGGGCAAGGGAATTATAGATGGTTCGAGTAGCTTGCTCTGTGCGAAGTTATTGCATGCATTTATACTTGCACTCAGACTGGCTACTCAGGACCAGGTAACCGGCTAGCAATTGTCTGCAGTGTTAAGAGGTGCGACATAGGGGGCTTGGCTATGCTTTCCTGTGAAACCAGCCTTCAGCGGTAGGTGCACCAACGTGAGATGCAACTGATAAATTCCCACTTCTCCTTGTGTCGCTGAGTCAGGGTCTTTTGAAAGCCCCAAGGGGTGGTTCGCTCCTTTCGGAGAGCTTTCATCTTAAGTACTGTAAAACTATAGTAGCATTCGCCTCTCTTCAGCTATAGCCGACAACTCCCATTGTTACACTTAGTAGCACGGCAAAATTCATTGTGACGGGTGCGAGCAACGAACCCATTCCTTACAGCTAGATGGCCGGTGTATAGCACTGACCTAGTCAGTATCTCGCTTCCCGTGAAAAAATAGCCTTGATATAATCTTTCTAGAAGTCCTGAAGATGATTCTAGTCTTTTTATGTTCTGGCATAACGGAGGTTGAACAGGACATGCCTTCCGCTGGAGAAGCTAANTGATTCTAGTCTTTTTATGTTCTGGCATAACGGAGGTTGAACAGGACATGCCTTCCGCTGGAGAAGCTAACAGCGCCTACGCACCCCGTCGCATTCGAACGTGTGCAATGTCTGCATCACATCCAGCAAAAGGCAATTATATCTCGACACCAATTCATTAGGCGTGCCTGCAGCTTTGGCAGCTAATTCGTAAAGAACCCCTCCACCTGTCTCGGCCATCCAAGTGTGTAGGCATCATGAGGCGGAGGCAGCGCAGGAGTTCCTAACTTCTCCGGTGCTGTACTTTTGTTGTCGAAATGCACCCGAAGTGTTACAGTTTCAATTAGTATAGAAACATCTCTATTAGAAGCAGAGGCAGACCAGAACTCCTGCAGAAGATTGCAGTAGATTCCTGAGCGAATCAGGGCAGATATCTCAATGAGTTTCGTTCTGGGATTACCATCGGTCAGAGCCGATAGTATTTACGTTGCTGTGGGCAAATTCACGAAGTATGCCCACTTCATCCCGTGCTGGAGTCCCGTTACTGCAGAGGGGGTGGCGTAATTCCTCAGTAGTCATCTTTAGAAGCTCTACGGCTTTCTGACGAGCACCATTACTGATAGGAACCAGAAATTTATTAGCGCCTTCTGGCGCGAATTCATTAGGCGACTCAAGAGACCACGATATCACCACCGCAAACCAGCAGAAGCCAGGGTCAAACTGAAAGCGTCCGCCCTGAGCCGCTCCTGTATTTACTACCTTATACACAGCACAATTCATCAGAGTGGCTTGATATATTTCCTTCTCCAGAACGGGTCTATAATACAGCTGTTCACTCTCTACTTGAGGCTGGGCATCGCACCTTGGGACTGGCTTTATGCGAACTTGTTTATTGCGAAAGCAGCATATACTCAGTTTCGTGCGTCATTCTCGCCTGTTTGGTGTCCAATTGGCTAACGTCTGTCGATTTACGCCCCTAACCCGCTCCTGCACTGGTCTGCCATTCACTGCCGCAGTATCAATAGGCCCTAATTCTGAGGCCTTAACCAAAATGATTTCTTTGCTCTTCAGCTGGCGCTGTGGAAGTGGCACTTTTTACCTTCTTTTATGCCAAGGTACTCCATCGTATCAGCGAGTTCCGCCTTTCACTCCTTATATCTCTGCACCGTTGGCTGCCCTGCCGCTTACCGAGCGCCTCTCTGTGGTGGCCCCCCCCTGCTATGAACCAATTACAGAGCAGCTTCGGGGCCACAATTGGACTTCTGCTCACAAAGGGCAAATACTTTTCGATGTAGCGCTCTATCGACAGCTTTTCTTGCTTAAGTTTGCTGTGCTGCAAAAATAACCAGTTCCATTGGGGACCTAGGAAGAAGGCCCGCGCAGAGCTGATGCGCTCGGAGAAAGCAGAACCTCTGCGTAGATGCTGCCACCGCCGTCGTCTATCTTGAGCCAATAGAAAAGAGGCAAATGGCAATTGTAAATGTTCCGGTGCATTTACCAGACGCCGGTATGACAGCCAAGGAACGCCTCGACTGTTTTCGCATCGCGGGGCCCGTCAGAAATTGTTGGTCGGCAGAGGCACAGTTGTTCTTCCTGAATTATTGATGGTCGACATGAGCTTTTGACCTCCAGAATAAGCGCTGAGTCCTGGTGAAGATGCCTTTGAGAGTGGGTTGCCTCCCCATCCAAGAGCAGATCAATGTCAGTATCTATAATCGCAAGATGAGGAGGCTGGAGTTTGACAAGGATGCTAGGGGAAGCTTTTAACGCTTTTTTCCTTTGTCTTTGATTATTACTACGCATTATGTCTCTGTGTTGGGGGTGGGGCGGAGTCACTATTCGGAGCTGTTCCAATGAACCATTGGGTGCAAGCAACGGGAGAGTCCGCTGCCTTTTTAGAGGACCGCAGTCTGCTGCAATGAAGCCCAAAGACTTAAGCGAGGCGTTTCCTAAAACAAACCTGCCTCCCTCCCTCGTCTCCAGGTGTCCGGGGCGCACAAGCTCAGCGCCTGGAAATTCGGGAGAGGAAGCCGCCTGATATGACGCCGCTCACCTCGCTTCAACATAATGATGCAAAGCAGTGTTCCGTGCACGCACAACCAAGCTTTCTTTGCTGCAGGCACTCTCTCTGTAGACACTTGGTGAGCATTCATATTTGTTTACAAGCAGCCTACCAATGTCAAGTGGATGCTCCGTTGCTAACTTGGGGTAGACAATGCTACGCTTTCGCTCAGTTCGAGGCCTCTCCTTACAACAGGGAATCAAGCCACCAACTGATATAGGTGTAACCACTGAGGCTGGGCATTTCTGGACCTTTGTTGTACTTTATTGGTAGAGGCATATCGCCACTTTGTATCCGATGAAATTCAGCCTCACAGCTAGGGCCCACGGCCGGGAGGCCCGGCGATTCACTTGTAGGCTCGGTACCGTCCCAAAGTGTGGACGTAGAACAAACCGTGCACCTCCCAACGAAATATATTGGGATAAAAACATCAGCGGTAAAAGTATTCACCAGCAGTAACCCGCAGTGAGCGACGTACTTGCTAACAGCCAAGCCCACCCACTGCTCGGCCCTCACCGTCGACCGGGCCGCAAGCACCGTCATTTTCAGCAGAGCTGGGACCATCGCTGTAGAAAAATCATTATATGTATGCGCTTAAGTGCACTTTTATTTAAACGTCAGCAGATAAAGGTCAGGCAAGGGCTTTCCTCTAACCCCGCTCCACTCGGCCTCAGTGGTGGCACGGGCGGCAGTCCCTCCCGAGCGGCGCATTGTTGCAGCAGGACGGTGTCTCTGCACTGCAGACTTTCGTTGTTCCCTTATTTATATGTCTGTTTTTCGGAACAGAGTATCCGATCTTTTTCGGCTGTACATGGAACTACCTTGGTAGTTCCAATTGCGCTGTGGGGCCGCCGTCGCCACCAACGCTTCAAGCAAGAAGGGGAAATTGTTATGGGCTTCCCCATCCGAGAACTGGCATCACTTTATACTTTTTCTTTTTAGGTTGGGTATTAACTGCTGCGTCTCCGACGAACAACGCCCTAGGTACCCCGGCGCTCCCGGTGGCCTTCCACGACCGCTCTCTACGCAAGAACTGCGGAGCTCAGGAGGCTTTATCGAGCTCGATCGACTATGGGGAAATTCACGTGTTTGTGCTGGAGGAACGTGGGAGCTGTTAACCAGCCAAGCAAGCGGCAGACTAGGGGAACTGCTCAGTGTGATCAGCTGTCTGAAAGGAAGTGTTCCGAGGAATCAGCGCCGCATGAGCCCCTGCAGAAGTTGCAGGATCATGTGGCTTGTGACATTGCGCAATCCGTCACTGATTCGGGGCCTCAGGATCAGCAGACCGTAGCAAGGCTTGACGCCGAAAAGGTACCAAACGCTACCCCAAATTGTTTAGTGAATCCCAAGAATGAGAAGCACGAACTTCCTGAAGCCTTTGCGGCGTCTACAAATGAAAAGGAAGGTATGCCAGAAGTTGAGCTCCTCCTGCCACAGGACAAGAATTTCGTCGACTCAAATATCCCAGTCTTGGACGAAAAGCTGAAATGTCACGAAGAATGCCGCAATACGTCTCAAGAGACAACGCCAGGAAATGATAGTCGAGTTACATCCTCCCCAATCTCCTTTATTTGCCCGACTTCCACAAGCGGTGGAGAAGAAGATCATCGGGCAGTCGTTTCGACCCCTCCTATTCTGGGGAGCCAGGGGAACCAAATAGAAGAAAGGGAGGGAGTAAATGACACAAACTTCATACATGGTTTGCAAGGGGAAATACGCAGTTCCTTCACTGAACAGACGGCTTGTCGAGGTACTAGACCAAAAGGTGAAGACGACCGAGCAGTCGTCTTGACCCCTCCCATTCCGGGAACCCAAGCAAGTCATGAAAGAGAAAGCGAGGTCGTAGATGTAACGAACATCATACGGGAGGAGCAGAAAGCGAGAACGGATTGCTTCTCAACTAAAAGTGCAACGGATCTGGGAAAGGAACCAGATACAGCGTCGACCGAGCTTGTGCAACCTGATGACATCAATCAATCTTTGGACGATAAGAAAGAGCCGAAGACAAAGTCCGGCAAAAAGAAGAGGAGGTCGCGCCGGAACAAAAATACCCAGAGTCCAAGCGAAGCGGAGCCAGTCCAAACGGCTGGAACAGACGGGGAGCCTCTTGCAGTCGCAGAAGGTACAGTGGGTAATTGTGATTCTTTCGATGATGAGTTAAGGCACAAAAATCCGGAGGGGGAGCCACTGGATCCTCAGACTCCCAGCAGGCAACCTGGGCATGATAAATCTTCGCGAAAACATAAGAAGAAGAAGGCCAGCAAAGCGAAGGGAAAGAGACGGCATGGGAAGACGGGCAGACGCTAACAGGAACAGTTTTTTAATTCCGCTTGTACAGGCGCTGGGCAGTTTCGCATGGCAGAGTTATTGTGTAAAGCAGCAGGAGTGGATCCCTTTATACCAATCTGGCACTTGTGAAGACTCGAGAACTGGATGTATTGGAGCAATCTTTTTGATAGCTTGTCTATGAAGAGCGATGTCGTCATGAAGAACGCGTAAACATTAGAGGCATTTTCTGAGGTCTGGTGCCACACTCGGAAATGCAAGTTTACAGCCGGGGGGAGCTTCCCTTTGATGAAATTGTTTTACTGTTATGGTTGCAGAGGTACATATTCCTTTTTGTTGTCGAAATCATTGTCTTGTAGCTTGAGTTGTTCTGGTCATCTCAGTTCTGGAACTGTAACAGTCTTGTACACTGGATCTCTCAAGACATGGTACGGGCGTAACTTCAAACTCGGTCCTCTAGTTAGCCCATCAGATCAGCTTGCCCCTTACGAGGTTTTTGTTAGACTGCACAGGGAACAGGATCATTTTAAGAGGGTGAATTTTTCACGCTGAAGGTAATTCCTGCTATTCACAGATGAGGAATTGCTCGGAAGAAGCAACCAACGCAAGCCAATGGCGAAGCCTTTGCTTTTTCAACATTTTGATCTAATATTAATACAGGTGGTGGGATGTCTCCAGGGCTTAGCTGCCGTGCCTTGCGTACTCACGCACTCAGGCGGCGACTCCTGCACTCAAATATCTTATGGTCTAGGTATAATTTGCCAGTCTGCACCAGGTTTGTGGGTGGCACTGTTTTCATAGCACATTGCCAGTGACAAATGGATGGCAGCATGTTCTCGTGGCAAATGTCCGTTTATGATCACACAGATTTCCTACATAGCTTTCAGTCTGGCTCTACTCCCATATTCGGTAGGTACTGCACCTCGATCCTTCCATTTACATACTTGAGACTGTCAGACCTTGCCGCTGCTCGAAATTATCATTTTAGTAGCTACACAGGCGCAGAGGCGGATGTCCTACCTCACCCCCATGCTCCGCCACAGTGGCAGCACTGTGACAGTGGCAGCAGTGCGGCATCAACTGGGAAGCTAATATTGGCTGGGCACAAAGTGGAGTTATTCCACACCATTGAATTAAACAGTGTTTTAAAGTATTGAAGTGGCGTAAAACAGCAAGCGGTGTGTTGGAGCACTGTTTCGATTGCGAAAAAGGTCCCTGTGTACAGCCGAGGGACAAGAGCTGGCATCGCAATTTGTTGAACATAACTTTTTGCCCACCGTCTAAGGAGATGCTTTTGACGGGCTGCGCATGATGGAATCGCAGTGACCAACAGAAATAGTGGTGCTACTGTTCCCTTATTTTCCACGGAGCCACATGGCTGCGGAGCGCAAGTGTACGCCACACCCCTACGCGCCCCTTGGGCTGCGCTGGCGCAAGAGCGTTGCCATCTATGCCATTCCCCATTAACTCTGGGGCGCTGTCTGCCAAGGAAGACCGACTGACTCGGTCTGATGATATAACAACTGACATCAACGGGCGAGCAGTCAGAAGCCATCGTCCCCTTCTACCACAGAAAGAGATGTCCTTGACGCCGCTGGCTTCCTACCGTGCCTGTGTTTGTGCCAGCGTCCCACTTCCACAAGCTCTGTAGCACATGGATTCCACCACGGGCGCACACCGTGAGAGCCCTAAGAGCCAGTGGAGGCCAGCAGCTTTATCGCCAGACGAAGCCACATACGGCAAGCCTCACGGTCCAGGAAACAACCCGCGTCCAGCCCCCTGGGCACCAAAAGCGACAAAGTAATCACTCAGGGAAGGACGAAATAACCCGGTGGAGGCGGACGCCGCTTGTCTGCCTATGCCGATTGTTGGAAGGGCTCATAGGAATTCCCGAGAAGACGCACATGCCCACATGTTCCCGAGTCACTCCACTTTCGATGGCTTAACATCGAGACGATCCCTTGGCTGCCCTGAGGAATCCACCTCTGAAACTCTTGAATGCAAGTCTCTCATCTGACCACTGAGGATGAAGTGCACAAACATCTTCACCATCAGCACAAACCTGCAAGAGCACAACCATACAAGTACATGTGCAGGCATGATTGGCCCCAAATATATGCGCCCACCCTATCTCTTCTGTGGTTCCAATTCGTGTCATATGCCCCTGCGGCTACGTGGAATGATCAATGTGAGTTATATGCATACCAATATATGTTCATGAGGCTCAGTGTGAGGAGAATGAAAATGAAGTAGCTACTGCTTTCCGTCTCAGAATTGTCTGGCCGAGTCTTTATCGCCTTAAATATGGGGAAGAGGGCAGCAGATGGGAAGGTGTATAGCCGGAAGTAGAACCAGCAGCTCGTTAGCAACACAAAAAGTCCAATTGTAACTTTATGATACGGCGTGTCTACAAACGCCTTGCACCTGATCATAAGCACCGCATTTGATCCAACAGAAGACCACAATTGAAAGTAAACAACGGGGGCATTTGTGATCATCTGGAAAGCTATTAACAGGCACTCGATAATCTTTAGTGGCGAGTTTTTCTACGAATCACGCACCCGAAAGTAAAAATATCGCAGATGTCGTGACAAAATAAGATAACTACGCCGACCCTCAAGAAGTTGCTCATGTACGAGAAATAGATGAGACAAAGAGCAGAAACACAAGGCAGTAGTTGGTCAAAGAAGTCGGGAAGCCACGGTGACTTCAGAATGTAGATAAGCGTTGCGAGGTGGTGGCCGAAAGCAACGTAAAAGTACAGATGGCAGTAAATGCTGTTCTGTTGCATCGGGTACCCTGCAAAACGAACAACCACACGTATGAAGAAACGCCATATTTTTGCTCTGAGTCCCGTCTATACACACATCGCAGTACACCCCGCACTGCCTTGACTGTGCTTCGCGCATGTTAACGTTTGCCTTGAAATACCGTGTCCGATGGCATGTGGAGATGCCACATGCGGCCTAGTGCGTTCGCAATTCACTGTAACTAGAGGCCAATCCTCAATGATCTGCCCGCTAGTGCTTGGCACGCTCGCTCATATTGACAGGTACGGCAGACGACAAGCCAGCACGACTCACCCTTCCACAGCTCCTCTTCTGCACCCTCGCCACCGAGCTGTTGTGGCCACCAGCGCTCGTTCCGAAAGGACAGAAGGCACACCGCTGTAGTCATTAAAAAGTACAACATCTTCCAAGTCATTGCCCCGAAATGAGAGCAGAGTAGTTGTCGCACCTGCTCGCTCCATCGGCTGCAGGAAAAACAGACCGGGGGAGGTTAACAAGAATCCTCAGCATTGCAAGCCAAAAACGCATGGCTATTTCGAATATGCTCATCCCTAAGATGCAAGTATCAGGGGGAAAAGGGAACGTAGAAGAACTAGCAATACACTAGCTGCGCATGTCGGGAGCCGCCACGTGAGCGGTTCAACTATACATTTCACAGCAGTGTACAGGAATGCAAAATGTAGTGCTAGTGAATTCCTACTCGCGTGGAAGTAGGCGATCCGCAAGCGGTTTTAGCAGCCATGTGCAGAGGCCCTGAGACGCACGATGCGCTTATGTCTCATTGTGTGCAGTCGCCCACACTCGTTCGCACACAAAGCGCAATGTTTTGCGTTTAGCAGGTAGTGCGCGTGGCAATTGCATGTAGGAATCGAGTTTGTTCGTCGACGCTAGGCAACTCACCTGAAGGACAAGGTAGAAAGCCGCAGCAGCGGCGCCGTAAATCCGCAGGTCACTCGGGTCCGGGTAGCCACCGCCTGGGACACCAAGGCGATGGCGAATACTTCCAGCAACTTTAGGGTAGTGCAATGCCGACCAAAAAGCAATAACAGCCAGGAGAATACCGAAAACGCGGTCCAACCGAACCATTTTTGAGTTGCATGTGCGCCTCACGGACTGTTCAGCTGGCTCCCACAAGTGTGCGCTGGAACACGCGAACACTACAGCTTCCTAACGAATATCTTCAGCGTCCCAATCCGCTGCACGCTGTCTGTTAGGACAGCTGCCGCTAGCGGAGTTCCACCTTGAAATCGAGTCGAGGAATGGCATGCAAATGCATAAACCTCCTGGAGAAACACCCCAGTTCGTGTGGGCCCGGTGAACGAGTTGACCTCGACTATTCAAAAAGACGCGCACAGATAAGATAAGTGCTATACTGGTGAAGAAGTGCACTCAATAATCAGAAATGTAGAGGGATCCTCCGGTGCTCCCGTGAGTGCCCCAGGGGCATTCGGGGCGCTGTCACACAATCAAGGAACACGCACACGCCCAGAAAGGCAAAGAGCCCAGGTGTACACTAAAACCGATGTTCACCACAGTTGTCAGGAAGAGGGAAGTTGGATCTGCACGGATTCAACCGATGCGCATGCTGATTCAGCCCCCCACTACGGGCAGCCGCTGAACGGCCACATAATGTCTGGGATGGTAGACGTTCGAAGACTTCCTCACGGTCTATTTGGCTTGGAATTATTTTTAATGGTCATCAAGGGTTTGGAAGTTTGTAGGGCTACTGAATTCCTGCCTTGCACGTCTGTAGGTACTGTCTGGTGGACGCACGCACAGCCCGTGGCCCACCGTGTTCCATTGCTGAGCGTGTCTGATGTTTCAGTTTCTGTAATGTTAGCATCTCTATATGTAGGCTCAGTCTCCGACCGAGACCTCCGATATGGGCACTTCACATGGGCGTAACCACTGCCTGCTTCCTCGTCCAAGACACGCGGATGCGGCGGCTGTAAATCTCGTCCTAGTGCTACATCTACGGATTCAAGGGGAATGAAATTTCTGTTTATTTTTCAAAACTTTCGATTTCACTTCAGACGGAGCCAGTCAATCGAGCACGGCCCGAAATTGCGAAACTTGCGTGCACCCGATGCTTGTGTAGCACTCACCGGAACCCGACTTCTCTGTAGAGTTACTTTACTTGTGCAGCTTTCTCATCTGTAGAAGATATTACTCCGCCAGTTGTTACACGCAGTATGGCGCATCCTCCCGCAAACTGCGCTGTCTAGCACGTACCCTCGGCACTCCTCCAGTAACTCGGCCTTGAGGCACCAGGGCTGTTCAAACTGTGCTAATGGATTTTGGACGTCATCATATTTTTCCCCTCAAGGGCTTGCAGAGCAGTTGGTCGACTTCCGCCACTTCTGCCCTTGCCTTATTTGCCCAGCAGAGTTGCCCTTAGGAGACCCTCACCCGCAGACACTCTGTCGAGCGTTTGCGTTGTCGTTGAACCATTTTGCATTGCTCGTTTGCATCCATTGGATAGGTTGAGGGGCTTTCCCCCATTAGACGGGCGTCCATATGGTAGCGTGTATCTTCCGGGACTAGCAGCGGGTGCTAACACTAATCTCAGGCAATCCTTTTCTCAGTAGCCTCAAACACACCCTGGCTGGGAACGCCTGGGAGACAAGCCGGGACATAGTATGTTCGTTGGCTGTTAGTTAGTGTTTCGTTTCACTGTGGCTCAGGAGGGGCTGCGCCGGCGAGGAAGACCATCGTAGCGTCTTGCCTTCACGATTTTGGCATGGCGTTACCTAAAGGCAGTCATGAAGTGCTGATACTGATAAAATTTCCCCTGCTCAGGAGTGACCACATATGTGTTGGGAGTAAATGTACGCATCGCGTACTTCGCAAAATGCTTTCTGGTCAACAGGCCTCTTCTACGTTCCACTCTTAGGCACATCCACAGTTTTTGTATGGTGACAGCGTGGAGGCTGATTGGGCAGTCACTTGGCACTGCAGCTCCAGTGGAGCTTTTCGTACATCGTGTCCGCCTTATTCCTGCTCTTTGCATTCATGGGAAGTTCTTGATACTTTCGATCGAAATTGTTAACCCTTAGTGAAGCACACATGTCTGATGAAGTATAAGTTGGTTTGTGGTGAGTAGCGTTGTTATTTTTGATGGTGATTTCTGAGTCTTAGCTCCAAGATGTTTACATGTCTATATAGCTCCTGCTTTACCTGCAGTAAGTGGCCTGAAGCTACACGCTTGCGAATTTGCAAAGGCCTTCTTTACGCAAGTTTGACCCCCCTGTCTCCATTTAGTTGAACTGATGTTCGCACTGAGGAGAAGGAACGACTGTTCATTGGCAGAGTGTTACTGCCCTGCAATAGGGAAGCTGCTATGTCTGCAACTGACAGGCTCCTCATAAATGATGCCCCTTATTTTGTGTCATTTTGTATAAAGACACCGCGAAGATTTTAAGACTTACAGGCTACCGCTCTGATTAGGGCACAGAGAAGCCTTGGTTACCCCGATTGACGATTGCTAGGCTACCACAGTGGTCTAAGTAGCGTACACGCCCTGCGCGCCACCACATTTCTTGTTTACAGAGAGTATCACATATTTCAGATAGGGATGTGACTGCCGAAGATGAGAGAAGCTTCCATGGGGCTACGGACTATGCCTGCTATCGAATGTAGCGCCAAGCGTTACGTCAACAGGACCGCTTTTACTCGCGTGCGATCTGGATATCTCTCTTTCTCTGTAGAATGGTTCCTTCGACTACAGAGACGGTACACTTTACGGTTTGCTGAGCTCTAGAGATACCTGACGCACTCCGGTCAAAAAGCGAAAAAACTGAAACTGCCTCCCGTGTTTTGCGCCCCAGAGTACCCATTGGAACAGTAATTTCAGAATTCTCCTCCAAACGCTATGAAAAAATTGCCTAGGTAGTGCAGGTCGTCGGGTGGCTAGGAAGTTCGGGGCCAGGTTTGTTGCCACGTTGACAAATCTGCTGCTCAGTGCATATGTTCTGTGTGGGGTCACCACTGGTCACACGCAATCCACGGTGTTATCATAGGGCAGTCAATACCATTTGTTCGGCAAATATGCCTCTCTATGGTGATAACTTGACCAAATGCATGCAGACGCAGCAGTTTTGAGCGGAGCCCGCAGTGACCCGCGTAGTGGACTGCTTCCGCTGGGCCAGGTCCACGCGGCAGTCACCGCAATGAGACACACCCCACAGAAACTACACAAAGTCTAGCTTTCCACGAAGTTGCACGGTGCCGCGTCACGTACGGGTGCTGTGAGATAATATTGTCACCTTTGATGAACCTCCTCTTGCAGCTTTACCCCGGCTAAAGCGCTGGTGGACTTTTGGCTGGGTTGCTTTGACGGTCCTTTTTCGTTGTCGAACGCCGATTTCAGCAGCACAACTGCAATGAAACTACAGTGCAGCTGATATTTATTGATGGTAGTGTTTCTGGACTCTCCTTGCCACATGTAGAAACCGTGTGGAAGGGTCACGGTGGCTTCTTGGTGGCCAGGCAATCTCACAGCTAAGCAGTCACGATCGCACTCACTTTTGTCATATCCCTCGTCAGAGTGGGTTATACTCATTGATAAGGGACTACTGGAAGGCTGGATGTGCGCGTTTTCTTTTGCGGCTGGTTGTAAGTCGCGCGAAGACCCTCCGCAATGCTGAGCAGCGTCTGGAACAAGTTTGTGCCTGGTGGTAGAAGCCGTCAAACGCATGAAGCGCAACAGACTGCTCTCGAAATACGTGGCGATTCCTTGTCAACGGCCCCCAATGCGGAGGTGAGAGGGGAGAATGCCGGCGCAAGTGTCAGCCCAGCGCCAAAACCATTTGCGGATCACCTCTGCAACTGCGCGGCTGCCGGCTGCAAATCCGTGGATTCCGTGTGCATATGCTCGGTCCAACAACCGGTTTGTACGTGTCTTGTCAGCGGAAATGATTGTGCATCGGACAACTGCGGCTGTATTGGGTTACGGCATGGGCACAGTTGCGCTAACTGCAGTTGCGTTTGCTCCAACAGGGAGCCAAATGGTGCAAATGTGAAGATAGATCATTCTGACGCAGATGGTTCAATGGCCGATTATGGGGCCCAACAGTGTAGCGGGCAGCAGCAGAGTCCAACTGAAGTCCACAGTGGGCCGCAAGCTCATCGGAGTAAAGCGGACAGGGCAGACATAATCAGCCGCTCAGCGGGCAGTGACTGTCTGCCAGCGCCTCATTCGAGCTCCTGTGACATGAACCCACTTCAGGATCATCAAAAGACAGCATCACATGAAGGAAATACCCAGCATCAACAGCACTGGTCGGCTTCATCCTCTCCTCTTCCTGTAGAGAAGGGGTCAGCAATGTCGAACCGGAGTGATTCCGGTAAGTTTCCACCCCCATTATACAGCCTTGCTGAAATTTAATGCAGTTGAAGGAATTAACTACGCAACAATCTTATTGCGGGATCTCCAATATTTGTGTTCAACCACTATCGTGAACTGCAGCATTGCACGCTTATGCCCAATGCGCCTTTCCGCAGGACATCCCGAGGGGTGGGAACATATACGCAGCGATGATATACAAGCAGCATGCATGCGCAACGAGGAGGCTATGCAGACAGGAAACGCCTATGGGGATGAGCCACGCCGCGAAACGGTTACACCGGGGGAGCAGGATTGGAGAACCAACAAAGCATCCGGCAGCATCGCAGGTTGGAATTCACCCCCCCCCGAATTCGAGTTTGTCGCTGACGGTCCTTGGTGTGATGTGAGTCGACTGCTACGGCTTTCCAGCAGACAGCAACCACGAGGATGGGAATGGGCATGCTCGGGTCTCGCCTCTGCCTTACTGAGGGATAGAAGCAACAGTAACAACCATGCTGAAGCGGTCGCTGCACTTGGCGAAGCAGACGACGCGGGGGAAGACGCTGCAGTTGCTGCGGCTAGTGAGAGAACTGGTCGTCAGGGTTGTCCTGTAGTGCGGTTGCTTCGTTCGGCTATGTACTCCACCATGTTTTCCGGGTCAGAATTCATTCGTCGTCATGGCACTCTGGGTAAGGCCACCGCAGGAACGGAAGCAAATAGTGCTTCTGAGTCACCACAAGCAAACCCCACTGGCTGGGGCGGACGATGGCAGCTCACTCCATTCGATTATCCTCGAGATAGCTTCACTAGCTGCTCTAGCAGCGACAGCAGGAGGGGAAGCGCCCCGGTACCTCCTGTTGCATTATCAGTTGAGGATGGAGAATCTTCAAGCGGATCACAGGGAAGCAGTTTCGAGTCGCATTCTCAGCTGCTGCATGGGAGTGCTGGCGGCTCTGATGCTGTGAGGCCCCGCTCACCCGTGGGAAGCCCTTCACTCGCAGCCAGTAGCGGTACGCAGCGGGGAACACTAGCTGCTGACGAGGGAAATGCAACGGTCTATCCCGACTCTGCACATGTAGCATCTGAGGTGCGCATGGCTTTTCTCTACGCGTTGTGTATATCGGGGGACTGACCGGGGTCGCCCTGGTGTTCCGCTGGCTGCACTGCGCTGCTGGATTCCCACTCATCGCCCTGAAAATTTAGTCAAACTTTCCTCTGATCCTGTACATAGCGGGATCTCCTTGTCAATTCAATCCCTGCTGATTGAATCTCGTTATTTTTGGTATTTGTGCGCCCAATTCAGGTGCAAGCGTCGTGCTCTGCCACAGAGATTTCCGATCCTGCTGAAAGTGGACGGTGTCGCGCTTCGGTTAGATGCCTTCATGGCCTTCTCCTCCACCGTGTCAGCCCTATAGAAATATCATCCACCGTGTTTTACTATAGCGCCTCAGGTGGATGCCCAGAGTGTTCGTCTTCCTCTGCGTGGCCGCGAGCTCGTGCAGATGTTGCCTGCTGCAAGCCCAACACACGGCTCCGTGTGCTTTTCATGCCATTCTTCTTGCCCCCAGCATTGTTCTGTGCATTGGCCAGGTAGTAGTGTCAGTCTTCTCTTCCCAGTACCCATTTTCTTGATTGTCTTGCAGATTGCCTGCTAATTCCATGCTATGCTGCCGACATCATTCGCATGTGTTTCATTCTGAACAGCTGTAGCTCTGCCTACCCGTTGCTTCTTTTACCGATTTGTTGATCGAGCTGTGTGTGTTTCTGAACGTTGAATTATTAAACCGAGCGCGCATAACCGTTGCATACTTGCACACTAACATGGCATCATTTTCATAGACGTTACAAGGGCACTACTTTTGAATCAGCATGCACTAACCTAGTTCGAAGCAAGGACATTACCACTACCGAAGAGGGCGGGTAGAGATGATCCTTCAAGCAGTTAGAGGCCCATGTTCTATTGATCCTGTGCGTTCGTACTATAGTCTCATTAATTAGACGCTGCATTAACTTTTCGTCTCACGGCTATCTGCTCCCTTTTGGTTTCCGGCTCTGTGGATCAGGCGCAGCAGCACATAGAAACTCAATGCCGGAAAAAGTTGAAGAAAAATGACATGCGGCTGAATATTCTCATTACTGCCTTGCCGGGGGTGGATACAGACGTGTTCTGCCGACAGATGTTCGCGGAGGTTAGTAGGATTCTTTTCTATTCCTTTCTGCTGTCTTTCGTTGCACTGGTTTCTCCCACTATTGTCACAACAAAGCGTGCTTGCAGCGTTGTTGAATATACGCATGCAGAGAGTTGCCGATTTGGTCCCACACAAATACAGTGTATGGCCAAGTAAAGCTTTTGTGTTCTTTGGACTCAGTGGCAAGAAGTCAGTCGTCAACGTGTCTCTTGCGGGGAGGAGTTTGTCTTCCGCTCTCCGTTTGTTGTTCCGTTCGTCGAGGGTAAGCTACACTGTTGGCACGTGCATATTGGCACTTTACAAGGGGCTTCGAATTTCGTGCCCATGTATGGTGGTGCGCACCTGTGCCACAACACACACCCGTGTGTACTGTGACTGACAATCACTTATATACTGGGAGACTGCGCATCTGCTTGGATCATGCAGTTCCCGTCATTGCGGCTACTAGCTTTGCTTCTGCTCTTCCTTATTGTGAGCTTCGCCTATTGGAAGAATGGACACGAGATGCAGTTCTGCAGCAAGAGGCGACAGAACGAAGGGTATGTTGCAATTAGCTCTGCATGCATACTTCCATCCGTCGCAATATGGACTCGTAGTGGAAGGCAAATCTAGCTTCATATTAGATAAAGGGGGACGGTCTCGTTGGTCATACAACTACGCCCTTGTGCTTTTAACAGGAAGTTTGGATTCTGTACTGTACGTAATTTGTTGCAGGTCCACATTTGTCTTTTTCTCATCCCTCACCTCGCCCTACCTCTATCCACAGGAGTTTTGGCTTTGTTGAAACGCCTCCGGGCCGTGGCCTGCATGCTTCCCCTGTTGATTGTGCAACAGACCACATCTAACGAGCAAATTTTGCGCGAGTAAGACCCTGCAAAGATCGCCTGCAGGGATTACTGCTTTTTTTCGCTTTGCAGAATTCAGGTGTTTTTTGCTGCTCTGCATACTCCGTATTGTTGCCGATTTTTGTGCTTTTTGGTACAGCAGAGGAGTACTCCGGCTGCAACTTGCTGCGTCTGACCTAGCGACTCTGGAGGAAATGCTGCTTCCGTTGCGCTCAACTACGCGTGTGCGCGGGGCCTGTGCCCACTGCCAGAGAAAAATACAACAGAAAGAATGCCAGCCGTCTGAAGTGCATTCTAAACCGGAGCCACCCCTGTCCTGTGAAGGGTTTTGTAGCAGTGACACAGCCAACGCCGGAAAGTGTCCTAGTGGCACAAATACTCAAGAGCGACGGACCCAACCGCCAGACGATTATTCAGAAAGCATAAACAACAGCTGCAGTAGTGTCAGCAGCAAGAGGAGTACTCATGGGCAACCAATTTGCGTTGATAGCACAAGCCCAGATATTCGAGAGCGACGAACCCTCAAGCCATATGATTCTGCAGAAAGCAACAGCCGAAGTAGTGGCAGCAGCAGGAAGGGCAGTCATGGGCAATCCATTGACGGTGAATGCGCAGAAAGTCGAAGAGGTGACAAAGTCGAAGGGGAGTCAGCACTAGCGAGCAGAAACCGGCGCAATATGCAGAATTTTAGTCGTGCCCCGCTGTGTCTCAGCGCGGTTCACCTTCCACTTGTACTACAGCTGCCTTTGAATGGCACAAATTGCGGTACAGATTCGCGATGCACGTGCGGGGAGGGAATTGGCGGCTTCAGCGAGGGAGTCACAACCCCTTTGTCACTGCGCGGTATGCTCGTGGAAGCATCGGCAGTGCTGCTGCGCCAGCGCGCTGAATATGGATGCTTCCTGCCATTTCTTTTCCAGCAACAGATGCTCCCAAACCGAACCAACAAGCTGCGCGGTTTGCAGCAGTGGGAAGACGAAGAGAAGCAGCAAAGAGAACAACAGCAGCACGTCGAAGCTCTTGTGGATCTTCGTCAAGTTCAGATTGACACTCATCCCAACACAGAGACAGCAATGCACATGCAGAGACAGCTTGACGGACTAAGGAAGCAGCTGCGCAAAATGCAGCAGCAGCTCCTCCACCTGCAGGAGAGAAGGTTTTTACAGGAGCTGCTGAGGGAGGAAGCAGCGGCGGCGCGGCCCTACCCCAGCCCCCACGGAAGAGTGTTGCTACAAAACAGCGACGCGGAACCTGGTGAGAGGGAGGAGCTCCTTTCGCAAGTGGCTCAAACTGGCCTCGTATTGGCCCTGATGCTAGGTGTTGGCGCACTCCTTTTCAACAGTATGAAACGTGGCAGCTGCTGAAGGGCGGAGCTGTAGGCGTAGGCGTGTGAGCCCCCGGGCCAGTGGTCCAGGGAGTGTATGACCCAATTGTTGCTCTTGAAGAAATTGGCTGGGAGGGGCCGTGAGCGCATATTAGATGGCAGATGAACTCTTATTTTTCCCATATGCACAATGAAAATAAGGTGTTTGCGCGCATTGACTTGTCTACGAGTAAACGAGTGTCTACGTAACCACAGCAGGCTAAAGGAACTACAGCAGTGCCTAAACACTGGTAGATTTACTCGTCGCTGCTCCGACATGGCGTGCTCACCTCCTGCCATGTGTGTCTATGATAGCACTAGGGCGTGCCCCAATTATGCCCTGAAGCTTGTCAGTCTGCTCTTTATAGAGAAGTGGGTGTTTTTCGCTCGAAGAAAGATATGGACGGAAACTGCGTGTTATGCGCTGGGCGAGGTATTGCCTCACTTTGCCTCCTATACACCGAAAACTGCTCCACACTACCATGGCAGCTCAAACGGAGAGCTGAACTAAGCCAGTAATTCCGTGAACCAAAGCCACCTTCACTTCTTCAGGAAAAACAACTGCAAAGTTTGACAGCGACTGGACTGCGCCGAAAATCACCGCCGTCGTGCTGCTCGTATTAGTGTTCAGCTGAGCCTCTTCATTTTGATGTGTCGGGGCTCTCGTTGAACAAAACTTCCGGTATGTGGCTTGGAAGGCCCAATGCGAACGGCTATAGTCACGTCTGGCCATGAAACAAGCAATCGCTAGAGGTGTCGTCTGGCCGGCAACGCAGTGTCCTCCGCCCCGAGCTCCCTCACTTGAGAAATAATCTCAAGTGCACTCCGTATAGATCTGAGAAACGAACATCACACGGTTGATGGCAATTGCAGTAAACGAAAACATCCTAAAGTGTGTATCTGGTAAGGGAACAACAGCCGCACGGGCAGCAGCAGGACTTTGATGATGCGGCATCCAAAAACAAAAGCCAGCTGTATGCGGTGAGACGAGTCAGTTGATACCTCACAAGGCAGAGGCGGTATATCAGCACCACTGTGTAATTTTGATCGAAACACCACGGCCCTTCGCAGTAGAGCATCGAGCACAACGACACCACAAATTTACGACTAGCAAAGAGGGAGCTACCAGTTAGGCTGCTTACTTCAAAAGCTGCTTGCATTGCTGTCGTTTCGCACTGATGTCACCAGCCTCCTTCATGAGCTCCCCAAAGAGCTCTGGTTCGTAGCACATGCGCAGTAAATAACGAGAATCCTGCTGACCAGCAGGAGTCCAACTAGCGATCACTTGTCCCAGCAGTAGGGGAACCACGTTCAGGGGCACTTGTGGCATATCTCGCTCCGAAAGGGTGGTAGAATCTGCTGTGTATGAGGGATTCTACGTGTGAATGGAGCCTGACCTTCTCTGTACAGTTGAGCTACTAGCTCTCTCTGAAGCACATCCTTCGCCGTGTTCACCATAAAGTACATGATCGCCTTTGGAACCGCATCAGCAACGTTCTTCCTGAATGACGTAGAATCAAACAGAACTATTTCCCTCTCGCTGGTAGACTGCAGTAACTAAATTCTGTGCGTGCTCGCTCTTTTTGGGTGCACACCACACCCACATGCAATCAAGCGTACTATAATGAATACATAAATACATTCACAAGTACGTAACATGCAAATGCCAGCTCACACCGAAGAATACAATAATACCATGCATCCACATTTGAGTGCGCAATGCATCTGCAATTCCAGGAAAAGAAACCTGGTTGAGACATATTAGAGGTGTGGGCAGGTGCCACGGGGTAAAAGCGTTATAACTCGTTCAACCCCTAAATGCATATGTTTACTGATGGGACAGATCACCAGTAAGAACACCGGGTTGGGCTATACAGTTATGAACTCGAGATGTACGCACCTGACAATCTGGAAGTAAGACCACAGCAACGACTTGATAAGTTCAGTCTCTATTTGCTCCCGGTCGGATGGGATATCTGACGGCGCGACAACGGGCGGAACTGCGGGCATGCGGATGCCTCCACTACCCTGAGTAGTTGAAGGAGCAAGATTGCCACATAACTAATCCTATGAAATGCTCCCTGCAGTAAAGGCCATCTCTGTAATGATACACCAAGGTAATGTTCACAATGCTGTCCATTCATTACTGAGTTTTGGACTAGAGGAATCAGCTATGCACTACTGGAAGCAGAGCAGATGGGGAGAACAACACATGAGGAAATAGAGCAGGAAAGACACGGCGCAGCAAAGTACCCGAAGCCTGTCGAATGTGTTGGTAAGACGAGCTGTTTACAGCACAAAAGCACACCGCAGGCAAACGAACAAACAAAGATGCACGCCGAGGTAAGCAGGTGCGCGGTATACCGGAAACTCTTAACGTTCACAGTAAGTTGTAGGACAATAACTTGCAACTGGTGATTAATGGGGCATATACTTCGCTACGCAACACCTACATTCTCTGCTGGTACATCTCTCAGCTGCATGAGCAACTTCAGCCCGCTGAGTTGGCAATTGCTGCAGGTGCTGTTGCTGGGGCTGCGCTTGCAGTGTAGCCGGCTGCGCAACAGTGGATGAATTGTTTCTGCTTGTGTGCGGAGAAGGTCGGGGGTTCTTTAGAAAACTGAAAAAACCACCTTGATGCAATACACCTCCAACGCCCTGACGAAATTCACAGGAGACCACAGACGGTTACCACGTACTCAAAATGCATGAGGAAAGCAGTTAGAAGTGCTAACAGAAACCTGCAGCCTAAAAAGCAAAGAAGGTTCCACGCAGATGTGCAATGTCCAGAGCAGTAATGCAGTGCTTCAACCCACAAATTCCCCTCGAGGAGAGGGCGGTGGCTCCTTCTCCGATGGTGCAGACGGCTTCACACTTTGCTGTTGCGGAGGCAGTGGAGGCTGTAGGCAGCTTCCTAATCCCGGCGCTGCAAACAAATCAGAATGGAAAGCGATCCCACAGCTTTTATGCGGTAGGAAGTGATCTGCTTCCATCACTCCTACGCGCGTTGACAGTGCAAGTAGTGCTCCATTGTGAACCCCGCCATCTTGACAAATGCCTAGTGCAATCACACGGTGCGCGTGCGCTCCTCTGCCATTCGCCTACAATAGGAATCGCGTCTGCTGGAGTTACTGTCCCCAAAGAGTCCCGGAAGGGCTTTGTTGCTCATGAAGTCTGGATGATTCGTATTTATGTATGCCAGCTCAATCTGCATGAAACACCCCAAAACGCCACAACGCGAATCGAAAGCGCATCTTTGGGCGCCCGCAGATACAAGCCTTACGTCGCAATTTACCTGGATAATATTGTGGATCATTTGATTTGTAGGGGCCAGGCACCTCTTCAGCACCCCACAAACGACCTCCAGAATGCGGTCTCTGAGATTCGTGAATCGAGACATCTCGGGAAGTTCAGATTTCTCGACGATCTTCTGCAGTTCGTCATACACCTGAAGCACGCACCGGCGCATTTGTGTTTGTTTAAACATAAACATTTCCAATGCAATAGGGCAAAACGATTGTAAGTTCGTCCTGATCGGCCCAAGGTAAGGGTAAATCACATACTTGTTCGACGCAAAGCAACGAAGGAGTCTCTAACTGCTGGATTTGTTTCTTGACCAGGATTTCAAATGCACTTTCCGGCACAAATAGGGCAGCTTTGGGACCCGTAGCGTTCCTGAAAGTCACATGAAGTCAGATGGTAGGCAAATCTCGAGAATCGGAGCAGGCAGCAGGGTGTTCGCACTAGAAAAAGGTGTGGAAACAAATAAAACCACTACTGTCCTGCAGAACAGAGACGATACCCTTGCGTTCTCACGGTTTATAGCTAGCCACAACGTTAAGTTTGACCCGGCGCAAACTACACAGTGTGAAGAGTAACCAGCTCTGAAGGGCATCGCAATTCGTGCAGACGTGTTTGCTCTAGTGTGCTCTCTGACGAGCAAAAATGAAAGAACCCTCACCGGATGGCAGTGCGAATTTCGTGATCGGTGAGGCCGCTGAGCGGGTCGAATTCAGCCAAGGCCCTGCCATACCAATCATGGAAGATGAAATTTATGCGCGCCCCGCCCATCAAATGATCCGAGGAGTGCTGAGACTGCAGCTTCCCGTCAATTGCATCCTGCAGAAGAATGGAGTGACCGCGGAACGACACAGCAGAGGTGACGATGGATGTAAAGAAAAGACTCGCCTACGGCGCCTGCGATTATTGCTATATTTGGTATATGTTGCACGCTTGCCCCCAATACTTCCCACGAATAACATCTGTCGCAATTAATGCTGGGGCGTCCGACCTGAAAATTGCGAGCAAACTTGGAAAAGAAATGTAAAAGCAACGCCCCAGCATTTCCTTTGGCTTCCAGCAGTGGATCCCCGTATCCAGCCAGCTCTGCTTCCGCCTCTTGAAGCCGTTTCTGCAGCCTCTCACGAAGCTCCGGCAACGATTCCCGGATATGCTGCATCAGCACCTGCAGCCAGAAGATCACCAGTGAAAATATGTCCAAATGCGAACCATGGAAAATTAGCATCGTTTTCCCCTCCCACAGTTTTGAGTTTTCATGAATCAGGGATGTAAAGAACTCTACGTGGGGGACCCTTTCGAAGTGCAAGTAAAAGAAATACAGAGTGGAGGGCTTTCCTGATTCAACATTCGCGCAAGATATCGCGTGCCGCAACGGTTCCCCAAGCTCCTGTAAGCCGGGTGACTCTGGAAAAACTTGGCCTCTTCCTCTTGAGCAGCTCTTGGGGAAAGCTGCTCACGTGTCTGGGCGAGACTTCTACACACTACGCCAACAAATCTGAGCACCGGCAGAGCAATGTCAGAGTCGTTCATACTGAAATACGCAGAGCAACGCCACACCTTAACTTAAGAGGGTACGTGAAGGGCATTTGCACTCGGTGCAGAAAAGATGCTCTGCTCATTGGTTGCTTCGCGACAATGTCCTGTCGCACGCATACTTGTCTAAAATCGAATCTGACACACTGTCGCGAAGCAACCGTTGAACAAAGCATATTTTCTGCACCGACTGGAAGTGCCCTGCACGTACCCTCTTCTTAGTGGGTAGACTTTCCCTAGAAGCACGTCAGCACAGTCACAGCCTTCCTCCATTGTGTCGACTTTGGTAACCACTCCGATTGTTCGAATGCCTTCTGGGTCAGCATCTCGAGCGATCTTGAGGCTGAAAGCTCAAGGATATGCAATACAGATGAGACAAAATCGGAAACCATAAGATAGTTTAACTATCGCTGGAAAAACTGGTGCTCGTGCACGCTTCAACACCAGAGAAGCCGCCGCGAAGCCCCATGAACATACGGGAAACTGTTGTACTGAAAAATCAGCACCCAAATAGCTATAAAATAACAGAGACGCCAGAGCGGGGCAGCTCCAGATGCACGCAGAAAACTGCCAAGACGACACACGAAGAGGATGAAGGAAGTTCCTAACCTGTCGGAATTGGCGATATCGGTGTTGGCCGCGGTTATGGCAAGGATAACACAAGAGGGCTGACTTATATACTGCAAGACTATCTTGCGGATTTGCAGCTGCAGCGAAGCAACACAGGCGTAAGGGGCATACCCTCACTAATCTTGATACACACCAGCTAAGCCACGTCTGAAACGGTATTCTAGAGCTGCAAAAGGCACTTAGAGGGACGATGACCACACTATTTGCACAGGCGCCAGAGCCCGGGAACCAGACTAGCTGTGGATGGAGAATGAACCACCTCAATGTCTGACGGCTGATCCCCAACAGGCACTTTTGTAATGCCTGGCAAATCGACAAGCGTCAAGTCAATAACGTTGGGCGAGAAAATCTTGAGGCAAATTGGAATGGGGGAGATGTTCTTCGAGCGGCCCGTCACCCTTTCCGTCTCCCTCTCAATCTCCTTCCTTATCTGTGCAAAGTCCGTGAACCGGTGGCCTGGAGAATGGCTGAACTCCCCCCATTCCGTCGTTCCAGATGTGTGTTGCAGCTGCAAGGCAACGGAGACAACTGGATAAAAGCAGCTATATCTCCCAAAACGACCGTAAGCTCTTGAATGATCCGGCAGGATGAACGGTATATAAAAACGCACGACGCCTCACACTTCAGCATGTGCTCATGCAGAGGCATGGAGGGAGTTTTACTTGAAGTATCAAGGGCCGTCTCGTGACAATACCAGTGCCTCGCGGAAGGAAATCCTTGCCAATCACCGCCTCTAGGACAGAAGATTTCCCCACAGACTGAGCCCCTACGACTGCTATCTGCGGCAGATCAAATGCTGCGCCATCACCGCTTCCCAGAGTCAGGAGCGCGTCCTGAAGACGATTCATGATGGGGATTAATTGCTCCATCTCGGGGGCCCAGTACATGAATCACGTGCCTCAACGGCCATCCAGCATGCTGCATTGCTGAGCAGCAGACTCAACCTTCAACAGAAGAGAAGGATATGCAGTAAGTTTCTTAAGAGCTGCATCCACCGTCTGAACGATTTTTGAGGAGCTTGAATGGATCCTGTGGCCCGCTAGTTCAGAAATCCCAATAGCGGCAGCAACTCCGCCCATGAAAGTGTAAGGGTGCATGTCAGTGAGTCCTTTAAGCAGTAAGTACTAGAGGTCCTCCCGCTGGCTGTAGATGCTCCCTAAGTTTGCAAGGCCCGGAGACAAGCAAGGTAGACAAGATGCCGGATGCGGGCGACTAGCCATACCTAAGCAGGCAAAGAAGGTAAAGACTGCACCAATGGCATCCGAAAGTATTTGAACAGTCGCACTGAACTGCATGAGAGTTCCATACGGCGACACCCCAAGACACGCCACGCATGCAAGGGAGGTCCGTTGTGCCTCACCAGAGACTGTCTCCAAGAGAAGTCAAGTGCTTCCCTTTCCCATATCTCACATTCTCTTCAGTATAAAGGATACTAGCTAAAAATTTCGAAATCCTTCCACCGGAGTCCGGGTCGCCGCCGACTGACCGGAGGATCACAGCCCCGTCCACACTACTCATAAGAAACTAAGAGCGTTGGGAGCAACTAAGCCTACTTGTAGTTCGGTAGGAGTGAACAGCAAAAATATATGTCCGAATCTCAATCCGGTACGTACAAAACTCCGTTGCTCATGCTCAATGCTGACGCTTGCGGTTGGATGCCTAACTTGGTGCCAGCAAATGCAGCTTAGCGAGTCTCCAGCACTCGGTGAAAAGGTAAAGGGAAACGCCACAAAACATGTCGCATTTATAGACAATGACTGTGTTGCCGTGAATACGCCCTAGAGTTGACCGTAACAGGTTCGCTCCTCCCACTGGGAGATGATTAACATGTGCCTAATGCACCACCCTGCCCGCAAGTGGGCTTTCCATTCTGTTTATACGATATATTCTGAAGACTTTTTCTTCCCGAACGGGACTCATCTGCTGCATTGGAAATGCGGCGCATGCTACGCGCTTAACACTACGCCTAACCCCCTCAACTCATATGTTCTGAAAGCCCATCTCCTGTGGCGTGAGGCCCCCCAACTACACTGATTGTCGCTTTGCATGACAACTCGCCACTCCTACTCTGGTCTATACGTATACAGACATGCGTGAGAAAACCGCCCCCAACCGTCTAAAAGGGTGTAAACGGCTATACTTAAAGCTGCAAAGCAGCACGATGTCTCCCGCCACTGGTGTCGCGTGCGTCCGCGCGGGTGCGCACCTTCCACCTTTTAACCGACTCTCAGAAGACGCAATGAGCGCAGCAGGACATAAACATGCCTGCGATACGGTGCAACAGAGCACCAACGACGGCAGCAGACTGCATCGCCCTCCGCGCTCCCTTCATTTTGCAGGGGTCGATGAGTAGCCTGCTCACCCCCGGTGCAGCAGAGATAGCAGCTTTATTTGTTCCCGTCACGAGGCCAATGGTGCCGAAGTCTACTCAGCGCCCGACAAGGAAGGCAATGCCGCCTTCTCTGCATATCTGTATAACAGACAGAAGCCCCTTGTGAGAACTAACAAAACCCACAAGCGCGACCCCTTCCCCTTGGGTGGAGGGGCAGCAGAAAAGCCGTTTCCCCCCTAATACTGCCGTCCTTAGACGGGAAATCCCTACAAACGGTAACTGGTTCTATTCAATAATGTGCAAACGTCTCAGCAGCCGTTTGTACATCATTGGCATGCCATGCCGGTTTCCCTCTGCGCTTGCGCATTGCGTAAGACATGGTTACCAACACGTTCCCTGCACGCGTCTTCTCAACCGATTAGGAGTCTTCCGATCTTTCTTCCTGAAGATACTGTACACGCCGTGCAATCCTCAAAATAGGGCAGGTTCGCCACAAAATACCGTCTTATTGTTCGCAGCTATCTTTCCAGCGTTACGCCCTTGCACGGGCAGGCCGTGCAAAACCAGCTGGGCCAGCTTCCGCTGGAGAACATCTCGACTGAGAACACTTTAGCTGCTTGTGATTGAAACGCAGAAGGGCCTGGAACTTCTCAAGCATCATCCGCGTGTTCTTTCCGTAAGCCTTTCCCAGCTCCTCATGCGCCCCACACTCTGTAACGGCTTCATCACAATCAGTCATGTCACTTCCATCTGTTAAGTAAAATCCAGCATGGGAGCTGCGCACAGAGCAGAAGCGCAGCAGCACAGGAAGACGAGCTGGTAATGCATCGTTACACTAACCAATATAGGGTGCACGATAGTTCCACAATGCTACGCGACCCTACCTGTCCGGGCACTCCTGCATTGGGCAGCAGTCATCCCCGCAATATTTCGTCTTTGTTTGTTCGAGTTCTGCGCGAGCAATTGCAATTCTTGCCTTCGCTTCAGCTGAATCGAGAGTCTCCCTTCTATATCTTTTTGGCGTGCGCTGCTGCTTGCTCCCTGTTTTAACCTCTCGGCATGCACGGTTTTGCCGTCGGTTACGATGCTGCTGCTGAAGCCGTTCTGCTTCCACGGCAGTGTCATCTCGCTTCTCCGGCTCCCGTTCCCGTCTGTCTTTTGTGCAGGGATGGAGCCGCAGACCAAACTGTACAACGGATTGCGCTGCGCGCATGCCAGTGTCGAACCTGAAAACAAGATTCAGACTCAGGCAGACGGCAGCCAAACTGTTGAATCGCATCTACCATCACTCGTCGCTCCAAATCGCTCTCCGGGCTTCTGAGGCTGACAGAACTTGCCCCAGAACGGCACAAATTTGTGCAACTTACGCTCCATCAACACACTGGCTGTAAGAATCCGAACAAAATTCTCCAGCGAACGCTACCCGGGGAGCTTCTAAAGGATGTGGAGCCCTCAGCCAGCGCCAGTGCGTTGCCATGTCGGCACCAGGTTTCTGCAGTTCCACCCCACACAATAAATCCCGTTTGCCCATCTGCACATGGAAACGCTAGTCAGCTGTACGACACCGTTCCTGAATCGATATCTATATCTGCAGAGATATTGACTCACTGGGTATGAGTAAGACCCCCTGGAGTACTTGTCGGAATGCCAACGGGTGACAACAGAAGCTACAAGGGCTGGGCGAGGGACGTAACCAAACAGTTTTCGCAGGTCATCAAGCACCTCTTGAGCCACCTAAAGGAAAATTAACCATCACCCGACCCAGTTCACAAGCCAAACGTAACCCCCAACTGCTATTCCACTCTAGGACTCACTACTGCCAGGTCTACTAACCGTGGCAAGTACGGCGACCAGTCTCAGTCGTGAAACCCATGCATAAATAATCGATACACAGCATCTATGCTAGTTGAGGCACTTGGCGTTCTGTAAACTCCTACAAAGCTCATTACTTCTCGCTGATGCACAACATAACTAACCTCTTCGTCAGTCAGGGAGTCAATAGCAAGGGATGCAGGAGGGAACAGATGGGCTAGAATACACCCCTTCTTCCCGTATGCATGTAGGTTCAAATACTGGAAGCGCGAATAAGGGGAAGAAAAAGAAGGAATCGAATGCGACCAGAAGACGTCGGATGGCGCAACCCGCAGCACCACCTGCAACAAAACCCAACCCGTCTCGTCAATTTTTCCGCCCCCCCCCTGTCTCCGCTGAAACAAGGGATGTGCGTGAGAACAATATAGTCACTTGCGAACAGCGTCCGTGTTCCTCAGCAACAACGGATGGGGCATGCTCTCGGAAACCCACCTTGTTGTGCACGCCCATGCCGACAGCCGCGAGAGCCGCCACCTTCTCGGCTGGGAGAGGTGGCTGAAACGTCACGCAAGCAGCCGCCCCCTCATCTTCCTCTGGAGGCTGTTGTAGCAGAGATACGGGCAGCGCTACGAGGACAAACCGTGAACGGAGCCTTAGTCACAAAACACAGCAAAAATGTGTTGTATGCACATACGCGAGACCACACTGAAGCGGATCAAGCAGAAGCACTGTTGATTGTCGCATTTAGTGCTGAATGCTCACTCTTGCGCTTCATTAGAGTTCTCGTCAGAGTGGCATCGGACAAGACAAGGGAATGCAGAGTCTTCTTCCGAAACAGAGACACAGGAGACGCGAGTGTTGAGACGGAGTCGATCTGGTGACAGCTGGCCACGAAGCATGTCCACAAGCCACCTCCAGCTCATGCAGATGCTGCAACAAAAACCCGATCCGAACAGCAAGGGAACCGGTTGGTGAGGCCACTCGCTTTCCCACTATAATGAGACTTTATATACGGCTCCCTGTAGCGCTGAGGGCACATTCTATCAAAATATGCCCCACTGAAAATGCGTACAGGTCGGAAGATACGGAAGGAGGTATAGCTGCAAACGGCCTAACAACCTGCGACTTCTTCCGGTCTCTCTCCGCAAATGCGAATGACAAATTCTTGGCATAGCGCTGCAACCCAGGCCCTGAAGAGGCACAGACAACGCAGAAACGAGAAATGCCTGAATGCAGACTCGCGCAACGTAGCCAGTCAACTGGTACAAGAACCTCCTGCGCTAGCGGCACTAAAGACATACAAGCAAGGAGCCGATACTTCGGGTCGTGATATCTCTCCACGTCGCGCTTCAGCTTGGGAGTCTGAAAGAAGGCAAAAAAGGCGGCGCTAACGTCCCCTAAAGGAGCTACGAAGCCGAACCGGCTCCGTAGCATCCGGACGACCATCGCCTCCACATGGCAAGCACAGCACTCGCCTACAGCAATTTCACTTCCACTGGGACTGTTGCTGCTCTTGTCAACCCCTGAAATGGCCAAGGAACATAAATTCTTCAGCCTTTGTAGCAGCGTTTCCACCAGCCCCCTCAACGCTGATGGCAAATCTAATGACTCGAAAGTATTCTGGTGAGGTGGGGTGTCTGCATTCCCGGACCCTGAATGATGTATTTCGCATGCAGGCAGGAGCCCTCGTGAAGCAGAAACTGTCGCTGCATCCGCTGTTCCTTCAGCCTCCAGAAGCGCAGCCGCCTCCCTATTGAGCAGCGTAAGAACAGAAACGGATGTCCCTGTTCCTTGCTGCCCAGCAGTCAACGACACGGGAGTGGCGAGGCGCGAAAAAAGAGCATGAGCAAGCGACACAACCAGCATGCAGAAACGCCGCCCTCCTCTTAGCCAATCGAAGTAGTAAGGATTTTCCCATCCAGTTTCCCCAGGAACTACAGCAACGCGGCACTCTGGAGAAGCAGCAGCGAGGTGATAGACGCTACAACCCTTTCTACGAGGCTTCAGCCTGACATCATTCTCGTTCCCCGTCAGCCCATGCATGTAATTGGCCCCTCCATCAATGCAGACGCTGCCATCCCTCCCTGACCTTCCCTTTCTACCACATGCCTTCCTGCCAACCCCCTTCTGCTGCCGCTGCTGCTGCTCCTCCGGCGATGCTGGGAGCGTCACCGACCACACGCGTCCCCCCAAACGACCTCTTGCCTCTATCACCTGATAATCCACTCCTGCTCTCTGGCAATGGAGAGCTCCCGCCAGACCAGCAACGCCACCGCCAACAATAAGCACATCGAAGAAACGGACAGGATGTCCACTCGCAGTGCCCTTGTTGCAATTATTGCTGGAGTCATTATCAGTTTCAGTTGCCCCCAATTCGGCCTTCGCCGCAACTCCCCCACCCCCCGCAGCAGCCGCACCGAAATTGCCTGTTCCTGGTGGCCCCTGCGTGGGAGGTTGCGCGGTGCGGCTTGCCCCGCCCCCGGCCCCCGCACTTGTCCCGCTGGAGCCTCCGGCGGAGGGACCTCCGGCGCCCGCGCCACCGCCTGGGCCTCCTCCGGCGCCTCTGTCGGATTCAGAGTCGGAGGAGTCGCCAGTATCTTCGCTATCTTCATCTTCATCGCCTTCTCCCTCGATATCGTCTTCCCCCTCTTCGTCATCGTCTTCTGTCCCAGCTGCTGCTCCGGAAGCTCCCGACCCGGGTTTCGTCGTACTCCCCCCCGCCACACCGGAGGAGGAGGCAGCAGCACGTTGCTGCTGCTGCTGCTGCTGCATACGGAGAAGCAGCAACTGTTGCTCTTGTAGCTGCTGATGAAGAGAAGCAGCCCCTCCAGTATCTCCCTGCAGCTGCCCCCCTGATCTGGGGATCTGCTGTTGCTGCGCCGGCGTTGCTGCTACGTTGTCCGTCTTGTCCTGACGGCTGGCATCTGGCGCTGCAGGCTGGTGGGGAGCCTTCTGCAGCGGAGCCGCCGAAGCAGCATTTGCTGCTGGCGAAGCCTTCCCCTGTACCTCCTGATGCTGCTGTAGTTGCTGCCACGGCTCCTGCGGTGATGCGCACGCGTTGTGCTGCGGGTCCCACATGTTCAAATAACAAAAGAATTTGGGGCGAAGAGCCTCGGCATCCACGTCAGCGGGTAATCGGCGCCACTTCTTACATGAACGACACTCAAGCCACTTCCCACCACGCTCTGTTGCTGATGCTGCAGCTGTCTCTGGAACTCCTTCACGACGCTCTGCAGTGCCTGCAGCAGCTCCACCAGCCGCGGGAGCCGCCGCTACTGCAGCCCCCGGAGCGTTCGCTGCCGCATTGGGTGTCGCTCTGCGCGCAGCGTCGAGCAGCCGAACCTGTTGCTGCTGAAGTAATTGCAGCTGCTGCTGCTGTAGCAATTGTAGTTGTTGCAGCTGCCCTCCAGCTCCAGTGGAAGCCGACGCTGCAGGATGCTGCTGCTGTTGGCCTTGTGGGAGCTTCGCCTGCTGCAGTTGCTGCTGCAGTTGTAGCTGCTGCTGCGCAGCGGGCGTGGCACTGCGTTGGCCAGACGCAGCAGCAGCAGCAGCGAGCTGCTGCTGTCGAAGGAGCTGCGCCGGAGGGTCCGCCTTTGTGTCTGGTTTCGTCGCTTCTGCAGCCCTAGAAACGTTTGCAGTTCGCTGTCTTTTTGCAGCGCTTTGCTGGAGCTGCTGCTGCTGCCTCTGGAGGGCTGCTGCTGCCTCGAGAAGCCGCTGCTGACTCTGCTGCTGCTGTTGCTCCTGCTGCGCAGGATCGGGCTCCTCAGGAGCTTCACAAGAAGCGAACTGTGGGGCCCAGGTATTCATTCGGCAGAACCACTTCTCGCTTGTGATTGGATTCGGGGCTCTTCTCCACTTGTTACAGGCGTCGCATTGCACCCAATTGTCATACACGACTGGCGGTTGCTGCTGCAGCTGCTGCAGCAGCTGGTGTTGTTGTTGCTGTAGCTGCTGCAAAAGCTGCTGTTGCTGCGCTTGCTGCATCTGGTGCTGAAGTTGCTGCTGCAACAACTGTTGCTGTAGCGCCGGAAGATTATTTGCGGCAGCTGGACCACCCCTCTGCTGTTGCTGTCCCAGCTGTTGTTGCAAGAGGTTCTGTCGCACAAGCGCAGCAGCAGACGCAGCAGCATCCGCAGGAGGTATGAGCCCTGGAGCAAGAACAGGCGTTCCTCCTGAAGCTGCTGCCGAGCCCTGCGACGGAAAAACGATGGGCTTATGCACACTGTCGAGCTCTAACAGCTACGTGAACACTACCAAATGCTCTGAACAACCCCCCAGAAAATCCATGTTCCAGCTAAGACGACTTACTGCATCTCCTGCTCCGTTGCCACTCTGAACTGTCCGCTGCGCCGCCGCCGTTCCCTTGGACGTAGCCTTCGACTTCGCCTTCGCCTTCGCCTTTGGTCTCGCTGCAGCACCACCAGCACCGCGCTGCTGCTGCAACAGCTGTTGCTGTTGCAGTTGCTGCTGCTGAAGCACTTGCTGCTGATTGCGAGTGGGTTGCTGCTGCTGCTGCATCTGTGCAGCCGGGTCTGGCTGCTCCGGTACACTGCAGGAAGCGTAGCGCCGGTCCCAAGTGTTTTGCTCACACACCCAGCTGGGCAATGTTATTTCGTAGGGAGCGACGCGCCACTTGTCGCAGCGGTCGCACTGCACGCAAGCACCGACAAAGCAACAGCGCAGGCAGAAGGCATACTACCTGGGCACACTTATTCAAATGCGAAGGCCATCATAGCGACTCCGCAAAAGGAGGTGCACTCACGCAACGCCCACAATAAAATAATACGTCCGCCGTAGCACATGCAAGTGCGCAGAGCTAGTACCAGGGGGAGCCAAAGCTCGAGAAATAGCTTACCTGGACCCAGTGAACCTTTTCAGGTTCCTGCTGCTGCTGCTGCTGCTGCAGGAACTGTTCCTGTTGTTCCAAGTGCAAAAGCCTCTGCTGGACGCCCGAAGCACCAGACGTCCCCTGAAGTTTCGCCGTGATGCCCTGCTGTTGCTGCTGCATCCGCAGCAGTTGCTGCTGTACGTGCAAGTTGGCAGGTAGTTGGTTCTGCGGAAACTGCAGGCGAGGCTGCTGAGCTGCAGCAGCCTGTGGGGGAGGTGCGGCTGCTGCGGCGGCGGCTTGAGGCTGCTGTTGCTGTTGCTGTTGCTGCTGTCCCTGCTGCAGCCCCATTGTCAACAGCGGCTGCTGTTGGGCTCCCTGCTGTTGCTGCTGCAAGGCCATTGCCTCCCGTGAAGCGAAAGAAAATTCCCCTTACTGGTCAACCTACGCTGGGCACAGTCTCAGACTGTCATAACTACGCCTTCACTAGCTATGTCGGAAAGGGTAGACGCCCAGGCAGCGTGTGTACTGGACGACACAGCACGACCCAGGAGCACTCGGCATGGGGGCGCGGGAACTGAAGAACACGATATTGGAGTCACTGTACACCCGCCAGATAAACAGAAAAGCCGAACCTCGACGCTATCAATCGAACTCGAGCGCAAGCCAAGTCGAAAAAGGCGCAGCACAGAGTACTCAAAACGGCTGCTGGCCACAACTTACGAGTTGTCGCTTCGCCGTCCCCTCCACAGGCCAAACGTATTCCGCCTGTGAAGAATCTGACAAGTTCTACCCAAATAATTGAAAAGAAACGCTATCACCTCCCTGGACAGCGATGCCAGCTGTGGCTACTCCAGTGGCAGGCCACAGCCGGACGAGAGTTCACGTGGGGGGGTGAGGGTGCGACTGCAGCCTGCTGTGTGGTAGGGCCCCTTGCGTCTTACTGTCCTTTCATCATACCATATGGTTTACTACGTTTTACTGCACAACGCGATCAGGACATTGTACGTACTTGTTGCGAGGGTTGCTTATCAGGCTTGGCCGAGCACCAGACCCCCACATGGCATTATAGTTGTTGCAGCCCAGCTCCACCCGGGCAACCACTTGAGGCCGGCAACGGCGAGCCACCCCGTTTCATTCTGATATGAATATTTTTGTTAGATTCATTGCAACATCATGAGCATTTGCAGCGGTGTGCATACTGGGGCCCCTGTAACGCATATGGGGGGTGTCTGTCTGGCGGTAGTTGTGCAAAGCTTTCGGCAAGACAACACGCAACATTATGTTATGCAGCAGCCGGCTATATCTACGTATCTTTCTATTCTATACATTTTTGGTGTAGTCCAGGTCGTTTTGTACTCCCGGATTGCTCAGTAGGGCGGCGTCTGGAGCGACCTTTGCCATACATGCGCTTCGGGAGGGAAGGTGCGTCGTGATATGCTAACTAGTACCCGAGGTGACCATTCTCAAGATTAATAGGCACAATGTACATTACCAGTGTACAGCGGTGTAGTAGTGCTACATTCCGTTGACTTGGTGTTAGAATTTTCGCCTGCCGCCGGCCTCCAGTTGAGGATGTACTGCATGTGTAGCGTCGTTTGCCGCGAGTTACGACACGAGTTTTCATGTGGCCTTGCTAGGCTGCCAGCACAGATATACAAATGCTCAGCAAGTGTATACAGAGGCAATACATGCAGCAAAGAAAGCCCAGTTGTGCCTAGACATGAGGCTGTGTTGCCCTATCAGCAAAACATGTTTTAATTGCGGGGTGGGGTGGGACTCATGTGGAGCCACCGCCCCTCCGGCAACCCGAGGCCATGAAGTGCTGCGCTAAGGCAGCCTGGGAACACGGGAGGGGGGTCAGGTGCTCTTCGGAAACTCTGACCTTGAGTGTGGCTTCACTGCACCTCGCGAGGATCCTCGAATGAGGACACGGACTTTCGTTGCAGTCTGAGGTCGGTACGGTGCTTCCTCCTTGCGTGCAAGCTCTCCCAAAAGGGATGGATAGGGGTGTTTCAAGCGTATAGAGTGTTGGGTCATGCAGCGAAGGGAGCTTGGTTATGCTTGCGCGCAGGGTTGCCCTGCAGCACATTTGACGAGGAAAACCGATCTTTTCAGCGAGCGATCGTGGGCTGTAGCACACTCCACGAACTTACCATTAAGGTTAGCAGCAAGCTGCTGACTAAAGCGTCCGATGTGTCGTCTCCTGCACCATCTCCGTACGAGCCCCAGGCCCTTGTGAAACTGTGCACACGGAGCGTATCGAGAGTACTCGGTCTTTGTCGAAGAGCGTCGTGAACGATGATCGAGTCGAATAAAATCAATATAAGAACTTCAGAAACGCATCTGGCATCAAATATAGCTCCGGTGTAGTAAAGGAAGGGCTGTTCAAGTGCCTCGGTTCTGGGGAAAGAAGGCGGCCTGACAGGAGTTGCAACGTACCTCGGTGCCACTACTGTTGCATTGCAGCCCCACGTGCAACTCTAGCTAAACACCTTATGCTGGATGAGCTAGCCCGGAAGACAATTGTTGAGCAGTTACTTGACCCGTAGAAGGCAGTGTGCATGCAAGTAGAAGCGCACGCTCGGCCTGCGGAGAGACCACGCTACATCTTGCTTCCCTCTCCTCCACGCAGCACAAGCATTCACCTGCCTGGACGCGCAGAAAGGGTTCGTTGGATCGGGCAGACGGGTCCCGCCACAATTGCTGATTCTCCCTCTGCAAGGCACGGCGTTGCATGCTCCACTGGTCTTAGTGCCCTCCAGTGTGCCTTTGCAGCTGCTCTCCGTTGCATTCTGTTGGTCGCCTGCTTCCGTATTGCCATTTTCTTCGTCATCTCTTTGCTGGCAGCCCAAAGCCAATGTTGCTGCTGTTGCAGTGAACGACGCCCATGGCGACATCGGGGGGGCCGCTGATCCGTGAGAAAAGCATTCATAGGTATGGCCGCACAAATTGGAAACAAGTAAAGCAAGAAGTCACAATAATATTGAGGCATTATAGCTCGAGGCCGTGCAGCTGAAGAAGGAGTGCTGATGATATGGCCTTCGCGCTGCTGCTGCTGTCCGCTGCAGAGGACACGCCTGCAGCGACACTGCCAGCGAGCTGGCGAAGGACAGCTGCTGCGGCTCTGCTGCACTGCTGAGGCGTCGCTCCTGCTGCGTCGCTGCTGTTGCTGTCCCCATGGCTGCTGCTGCGCACGCCACAGGCGTTCCTTCTGCTGCTTCCGTTGACTCTCTTAGTGCAGCAGCAACAGAACACCTGCGACTACATTTCGGTCCACTGGCGGTTGCAACAGCAGCAGCAGCTGTTGTTGCGCTCATAACAAAGGCTTCTAGAACTCCAAATTCGCTTTCATCTCCAATACAATCAGATGGAGCTGCTGCAGGAGCGTTTGCTGCGACTGGCTGAACCATATAAGCAACTTCCGGGCGAGACATGCCAATCGTTGCCGTAGTGAGCGGGGGCCCGTCGTGCTGCCCCCCTCCCCCCCAGCTCGACAAGCACTAAAGGGTGGAACTCAACCCTAAAATATCGGAAAATATGAAGTTGCAGTCGTTAGCGGTGACGAACTAAGCATAGGTAGGGCGACGAGCATAGCTCACAGCAGAAAAGGAATTACCACTGTAGATCGAACAGTTACAAAGATGCACGCCTCTCTACGCACGCAACCAAGCAATAGTCCGCGAAGGTTTGTGTGCGGCCCCATTTCACACCTCGCCGTTTATGCCAACGCTTGTGGGAAGTTGCTCGTGCGTATGGGGAAAGTTCGGGGGAAACTGCGATAATTCCCTGAACTGTTTTAGAAAGCTAACGTAAATGGTATGATAGCATCTCCAGGCCGGCGGTAAGGTGAGGATAAAAGCTAACAACAACAACTAGCAACAGTGGGTTTAGCAAGTTACGACTTGCAACTGAAGTCAGCAGCTGTGGGAGGACCTCTTCGGTATCCGTGACAACTGTCCAACGGGGGACGGCGGGCTCCTCGGAAAATGAAAGAAACAATGGCAGATCCAAGTAGCAACAGCGTTACGTATATGAAACGGTCTGGGCTCTCCATGTCGAGGTAAACAGAATTACAGGTTGCAGGTCTCCTGGCTAAACGGCAGCTGGATGCCTGTCAGAGCGCGATCAGTGCTCTGGAGTGAGAGACTACTATTCTGCGTATTGAAAAGCTGACACGCGAATAGGACAGGCACTGGCCTGGTGGGAATATGTACAGAAAGAAAGGGGAGAAAGCAAGTACTCCGCGACCCAGCTACTCGGTGAGAGTTTCTGACACAGCAGCTCCATTTTTGGGGTTGCGGAGTAGTCACCGTTATAGAATACGTGCATGCAGAGCAAACATCCATACTTGGAAAATCACTTCAGCAGGTTGAAAAAGTAGAAAGGGAGCAGATGCAGCTTAAATCGCAGCTACAAGCCTAAGTGTGCGTACATCAAGAATCCAGTTATGTAAGGAGACAGCTTGTGGAGCAGCGGAGCCAAACAGAGGTCAAAAAGCAATTAGAAAGAGGTATCAGCGGTTGTATGCTGATTGGTAATATCCACAGTGGAACGTCACGTCCGTAGAATAAAAGCACTCATCATCACGGGACCCTCCACTAATCCGGACAAATTAGCCAACTGAGATTGCAGGATCAGCTCAAATACACTTACCACAGAATGGACAATCGTGGAGATGGGATTTAATCTCTCAAGGAAACAATGACTAGGCTGACGGCATCTGCCGAGGCAAATGCTTCAATCTAGAAAACCATCAATCGCAGCCTACGAAGCTTCTGTTTAGCAGACCAAATACAGAACCGTCACGCAACTAGCACTTGCAATAACTAAAATTTCAAGGACTTCGAAGAATGTAGCTCAACGAACGAGGCAAGCGCTGCCGTCGTTCTCTCTCCAACGAACTTGATGGGCGTGTCCGAACCCTTCTTGAAAAACCAGACAGTTGGGAATCCCGTCACTTTGTACTTC